ACGGATAGCTTGGTATGGAAGGTGGTTCGCTGAGATGTTTAAGGGGAAGACTCTCCCAAGAGCGGTGATCTTCTGCCGAGCGCAAGAGCGAGATGAGTCGAAGAGATGAGGAAGGGGGCTCGCGCGCAGAGGGTGTCGACGGTGGACCCAGGAGGCAAGGGGGCCTCCTCGGACCTCGAGGGCCTGTGGACGAGCCAGCAAGAAGAACGGTAGGGATGCGAGCGGGGAAGAGAGAAGGATGAGAAGTGACCGGATGGCCTTGGTCCCAAGACTTGGTTAGTTACCGCGCGGCCGACTATAACTGGTCGAGAACTTCGTAACACACAGGGCGGTATCTCCGACTTCGACCGCTTTTTAAGACCACGGGCCACGGTACCGCGCATTGCCACATCACAGATACGAACTAGCCCCTAAAACACCAACGACGATACCGGACAACCTGATCGTTTTTATAGACGATCGCTTGTAACATTTTTTCATTCTCTGGATGACTTTCTTCGATCGCGCCTTACAGTGACACGCGAAAATCATAGGCTTTTACCCTTTCTTTTCTTCTTCCTTTTTCTTGGTTCCTCGCTCAAAACACCGGCGTCTTGTCTACGCCGTGTTGCGCTACTTTCCGACTATTCGCGATGGTTTGCTGAAAACAGGAACACCACGCTACGATAACGCTATCGAACAGGCAACGTTCCAACTATATTTTTGAAATATCCGGCTTTTCCTTTTCTTCTTTTCGGCTGATTTCCTTCCATTTGTTCTTTGTTATACGTGAAATTGATTTATGCGTCTTTGTAAAGGATACGGAACGTTATTGGAGACTTGACTTACAGAGTTACAGGAGGTTCCTGTCTGGAGTGAAAATGAATGGCCTGGTTATTTAGCCAGCATTGCTCGTTATTGCTCAACAGGGGCAACTTATGGGGCCGTATAAGAAAGTATATCTGTGACTGGCAAGAAACTATATGGTAGCGCTTCACTAAGCGCGTACAGATTCACGGAGCTAATAATTATACTTGGTGAGTTTGCAAAACTTATTGCCCGTGGTACTCGCAGCGCATAAAGTATCAAAATTGTACCATCTATGTTTTTCAAACGCGCTAAACATCTCGATATCTGAAATTCGCAGACAAAGTAATTTTTTAATACATATGCATAGCAAAAATGAAAAGAGTAAATAAACGTATGTGTTTTATTGACTGGCAGTAAATTTTATTCATTTTCGACAGCGATGAGAATTAAATTCTTATATGGAAAGTTGCCATGAAATCTGAGGCTCTCGTTACGACATGTTCAAACTCTAGATAGGATAAAACACCGTCACCGTCGATGTCGCTTTCTTCCAAAACTTTTCGACACACAGTGGCCACTTCGTCGGTATTCAAACCATCTTGAACCAACTGTCGACAAGTTCGTTCTAAATCATTCAATCCCAATACCCCATCTTCGTCAAAATCTGTTCGCAAAAAATTATAAAACGTTACCACGATTCGTATAAATTTCTGTTCGAATGTCACGTCATCGCGAAAATGATAGAGAATATTATGTTGGAATCGTTTGCATTACAACGTAGTATATAATTAATCGTGTATGCTAGAAAATCGATAGTTCTTTCGTGCAAATGATTCTCTTGTGCAACGCGAATGTCGTGTCTAGACAACGTATATACTTCGGATTCAATAGCATAGTTATAGGTACATCAGACACGACCTCGAATATTTCTCACGATCCGTCCAACTGTCTGATTCACATGGTGATTCGTACCGTAAATCTTAAAAGCGTAGAACACCTTCAAGTCTCTGGGTGCGTGTTCCGAAAAAACCGACATCATCTCAAGGAACTCCTCGAAGCAGATTCCTTCGTTTGAAACATCGGACGTTGACAATCTCGAATTCTGGCATTTTGCGAACACCTCTGAAATTCGTTGTCTAAACGGATTTTCCTGAAACATGATCAACTGTAACTGTTCGTCAAGCACCGCGACGAGAACTTCGCGCTCGCGTGTGAAAAGAGTTTTAACATTGAACGAGGGCAGAAAGATTAATCTAAGAACCTTTAATTCTGGTATGCGTGTCAAGCAAGACAGTGGTATACGAAGTGTCGATGCCTGTTGAGGCGTCATGGATCGTGGAACTGCCCCAGGGTCTCCCATGTCCCGAAACCGTTTATATATTCTAAAAAGGTATCGATGTACAAAAGAAGGATCGATAATTGTGTATACAGATCGTGCATGCAGTACCTTAAGATTTCTTTTCGGGTAAAGAACGTGCAGTCTTGATAATCTTCCAATTGTTCCTCGGTGAATGTAGCTACTTTGTTTCCCATTTTATTTAATAGTAACAATGCTCGACGCAAATGCAACTGTTAATCTATCGGTTATACCGGTGTTTCATTTACCAGTTAGAGCTTACAACTGAGTTTTCGCACCTCCAATGTTCAATACGAAATCTAATAATCAGGGTGTGTCTTGCCGCTCCCACTTTTAGGGACGTTTCACTCAGTAATTTGCGGGAAAAAGGTCGAATTTTCCATACGTTTACTTTTCTCGTAAGTCCTACTAATTTTTTCCCTCGCGAGACTTTTAATCGAATAGCCAACATTGCGTAATGGAAATAGTAGGGAGTTAAAATGACAAATCTTTTATAAATGAAAAATTGTATTGTTATAGAGGAATATGAAGTTAACCGTCGATAAAATTGATACTATTTACATGTAATGATCTTCGTAATTTTCCTTGCAATCGAGCAAGTGATTGAGGCATTCGTTAAACTCGTCCTCTTCCAATCCAGAGTCTGTGAATGCATGAAATTTCTTTATGCTTTTTATTTTGCTCAGTTGATCATGTAAAGATTCATACATTGAACTAAGACCGTTTCCGCTATGTAAACCAGCCATAACAGGAACGGACTGAACATCTAAAAATAGAAATTGATAAATACTTGATACAAGTCGTACGTTTATAGTGATTCTAAAAAATAGGGAATAGAACGATTTAAATGACTATAATTCAGAAACACACCTGTTCCTACAGGCCACCCGATAACGTCCCCGGTTTCAGTAATATTGTTATTGAAAATTTTTGGATATGGAGGTTTTATGTTCAGTGGTGATGAAATGTTTGATAAATAAGTTGCTGATGCATGACAAGTGCATGCTAAATAAAGCATCATCATTTCGTGTACAGTAGAGCATCTATATGCTGGTTTTGACATTTGTTTCATTGCATCAGAAATAGGTCGTTTTAATCTTTCTTCGGAAATTCCACGTAATACTATGCTTTGCATATTTTTATCCATTGGTATGTCACAATTTGGTGTCAAACTTGTCCATAATGGTCCTTCAAGTTCGTCCAGGACGTCGATCAAATCTGCTTTAGCAGTCATCGGGAACGGTAAAGTTAGGCTTGTTGCGACTGCCTTTCGACCCAGTTTATTGAGATCCGCACATAAATCGGATAAAACTACATTTGGATATTCTCTTCGTCTGTATCTAATAGTTAATGTGTCCAATGCAGTAGCTAAAAGTGCACTGCTATGATACTTTACTTCGGAATTGTACGTCAAATGATTAAATATACGCGGTTCTCCAATTTGTGGCCAAGCTGTTTCTCCACAACATAGTGGACTAAATAATGAAGCATATTCTCCTACATGTTGCCAGCATAAAGCTGTATTGAGTATTTTAATCACGTTGGATGTAGAAGGTTCAGTCTTCTTACTGTCTATACATGGAAATGACACGATACTTTTTCCATATTCATCTCTTAGGTGTTGTATACACGATGCCCCGATTCCAGCAAAACAATCCACAGAATCTAGAATTATCTATATTTCAAAATATTATCAATATTGCAGAATAATATAAAAACTATGTATATAAATATAAATGACCACATGCCTGAAATCCTTGCATTAAATCGCATTCTTCGACATAAGCTCTTATTCTTTCAGAAAAGTCGTCTGAGAATTGTTCTGTATTCCATAAATTTTTTCCATAAGTAAAGATACTAAATGGATACATTGCTCCATCGTGTTTGTGATGCTTAATGACATTTAATGTCCTGGGATGAAACCTAGGTAATAGATAATCTACCCACGAGCCGATGTTATTTTCCAAATTGGGGGGTGACGATGTTGAATTTGATGCTTCAGAAGATTCATCTAAGCTTTTAATAAATGGAGTTTTATCAACTGCTTCTTTCTTCAAGACCTGTACCTTTTTATCATCCCATAAACATTGTTGGGCTTCTTCCGACTGAGTAACATCATATAAAGTCCCTTGTTTTTTCAGATATCCAAATGCTTCTTCCAAATCTATAAGTAGCAATCTAGGAGTGTAAGTAACTTGTTTCTGAAAAAAAAAAGATATTCAATTGCCCTTAATAACAAATTGTACATTTTTATAGCTTCATTCTAAAAACATATTACTACACATTTATACCTTTAAGTTTTCACCTTCTCTGTATAAAACATCATGATTTATTTCAGATGGATTATCAGGATCATAAGAGAAATTAGATTCCTAAAAATATTTAAAAGAAAATTAAACAATTCTAATATTCTATGACTGGTATATTTCCTCTAAATACCTGTATATTCCACCAATGACTACCGATAAAATTGGAATAATGACCTAATTGAATAGTTAATATTTCTCGAGATGTCATCTTGTATTATGTACGTAATATAAATTTTCATACGATGCGATGGTTATCCGCAAATAAGGTTACACCATCAAATACTACACGTGCATTGTACTAGTCATTTATTGTTTCTTATATTTGGGCAGACATACTATTGACAAAACATTAGAAACGAATCCTCAAATAACAAAATACATACATATTGCATACAATTACGTATTGGCCGAAACTGTTATATATGTCATATAGCAACGCGTGACGATGAATGACAAGTAGAGCAGAGCGTAGTACTGGATTGTCTCTCTGTATATGTACATTTTATGCATTCTGTACCTGTATTTGTATATACGTAGTATAGTGATGAGTAATGAGTATATATAATATACAATAACAATAATATAAACAACAGTAAATTTTAATGAAAGAAAAATTTAAGTTTACAATGTCATTTAAAGTACGTAATTTTAACGGACCTGTACATGAAATATTCAGTTTAGAAATAGTAGGTAATTATAGTATCAATGATGAGAGAAAACATTCTAATGATATTACACAATTAAAATATTATAGAAATGAAACTCAATTTTATGTTGTGATGGATATTAGGCAATTTCGACATTCTGAAAATACAAGACTCAAAGAATTTAACACAACGGTCAATTTCAGATTTTTTAATGTTATAAAAAATCGATTTGATTATTCTGTCAACATTTTTTACGTTATATACATGATTATTAGGTTAGAGCCTGATCTTGTTTGCTTAAAAGGAATATTAAGAGCTTTGTTATGAAAGATATTATAGTTGGATTATGTGTGCTTTAAAATTGGAAGGCACAATATATTTATGCAAATTTGACACAGAAATAAAAAGAAAGTGAATCGACAAAAAGCGATTTTCTTAAACATTGAGAGAATTGGGGTTACAAATTTGAGCAATATATGGTAGCACCTAAAATAAATTATAAACAGATAAACAAATCATTATTCCACTGCACATTTTATCTTTAATAACGTAAAAAATTGTTTATTATAAACTTTATTTAATATTAAGTTACACCATTCACGGATCCTGACATTTCAAAATGTGTGAACCAAAATGAAGAATTTTCTTGTATATTTAAGTCAAAATTTAGTTAAAATATCTTGCTTTATGTAGCTGAAGCAGATGGAATCTGTTCTCAAGTAGATAGTGGTGAAGGAACTTGAATTAATAGTATTAAAAACCATTTATCATAAGGCACTTTCTAATGGGCTACCAAATAGCAGCTTTAAAATGTTGAGTTGGTGAGCTCAGTGTTATCCTGTAGGTATTAAAAATATCATATATCCATGTGGTAAAGATAGGTGGTAAAAATAAGGAAGGTATTGTTACAAAAATAGAAGAATTGAAGAGAAGTACATTAGAACATTGTATCATGGTAATCAGGACAATTTTAATAATTTAACAACATCATGTTATTTTAGATCTCCATTCGTTGCTTTCTATAGGGTCAACAAAAAGAGGTATTTACTTTGTATTGTATTTTTAGAAAAAATAAAAGAAATTGTTTGCGAGGAGCAAGATAAGTATTTATATAAATTTACATATGATCCAAAACGAAATACAGTTGCTGTTTTTAAACAGAATCCTAATAAATCAGAATATACATTTTTACATTCATGGTACATTGAGAACATAAATTCGTTCGTATTCCAAGGAAAAAAATTAAACAATTACTAAAATTATTTAAATGACATTAACGCACAGTTTTTGTTACGATTATTATTTTCTTTAATATCCTTATTATATGCAGTTAAGAATTTTGACCTGAAATTTGTTTTATGACTGACATTTCTTGATGAGACATGGGTTGTAACATTAAACCTGGAACAGGTGGATTAAGTTCTAAATCTCTCAATTCATTCACTTTAATTTTTAAATTGCTTCTTAGTTTATTAATTTCAATGTTACATTCTCTTTGATCTGTAATGTAATTGTAATGTAATAAATGCAATTAATGTAGTAATAAAAATATAATTATTATTTGTTTTATAAAAACATTAAAATATATAAAAGAATGACGTAGAAGTACCTTCGACAAGTAACTCCTCTGCAGTTTTGGATGGCATCTTGAGCAATAATGGTCCAATAGTTACCCAGTGTTTCTCACAATTCTGCTTCTGCAGTGCCCTCATTCCAACTCTATCATTGTTTCTTCTTTTATCCAAGGCAATTATTTCTTGCCGATCGGTAAGGATCTCATTAGCTTTTTCTTCTACTTGTTGTATATGTTTTAAAGCCTTCTGCTGATCAAATTTCATCTATAACAAGAATTATGATTAGTTAACCAAATATTATTTCACATTCCAAAATACTTTTGCAAAAATATACATTATCATTGAGACTAAATTATAACACAGAAAATTCACATACGCATTTAAGATATATAAAAAACACAAATTACATTGTATTCAGTCTTAGAAGTATTATCAAATATTAATGGTTTATGAAATTCTTGTATATTACTTTATGACAAAGCAATGCGCAGTGCTCTTTCTTTTCTAACTTCCCTATTGAGTAATTTTTCCCTGTCTTTCTTGTTTAAACACTTTGATTTAGATGTTTTAAAATCATTAACTGCTGTAGTATCTCCAGGTTTAAAATGAGTCACTCTGTATTCTTTCTCATTGGACTGTCCTATTCCTTTTCTATCGGATTTTAGGCAGGTTTTAATGGGATATTTCATTCCTTTTCCTGTAGGACCAAGACCACCTTGTTCATCCCATCCATAATTTAAAAGCATTTGGTAACCTTTATTTTGTTTTGATATTCCATACATTATATTTGTTAATTTTGGTTTACTATTGAAAATATGAAGTGTGGATGTCTCATGCTTTTTCCAAGTTGTTTGGTAAAAATTAACTTTACAAATTTTACAGTAAAATCCTGTACCTTCACTGGAACATTCTTTTCTATCATCATTACCTTCATGGATAATATCAGTGCAATTATTCAAATGTCCTACAAGCTCCGACCTTATCTGTAATGGAACATCAATATTTGTTCCAGAAGCGTTTGTAATTGTTTCTGGTAATGTTTTGTTAGGTGTAGGTTCTGATTTTTTCTTCAGTAATGCGACTATATTTAAATAGTTTTTTTTTAATGCCAATTGTGCTGCAGTAAGACCAGATCTTTCTCTAGCTTTTCTATTGGCACCAAGATTTAATAAAAATTCTATAACATCTAAGTGACCACAATATGCAGCTGACATGAGAGGAGTCCAACCAAAATCATCAGTCAAATTAACATTTTCCCACGTCACATACTTTGATAGAAATTTCAGATCTTTTTGTTCTACTGCTTTCAATATAGCATTAATTGTCACTTTTTCTGTAGCAATTTGATTGTACTTTGTCCTTTCATTTGATGAAAACTGTTTCGCTGTTATAACTTGATTGTTGAATATTTTTGATTTGTAATGTTTTTGTTCTGGATGTGAAGTCTCATCGCTTTTTTCATTTGTAATTTCATCATATGCCTTTCTTGCTTCATCATTTTGAAAACCTAAGCAGTGATCTTTCTTTTCTGTAGATACTGTTGGTTCACAAGATTCTCGAACGAATGTTTTCCATGTAACATCGATGTTATGAGAGAAAAAGTTACTTTGTTTTAACATTTCACATTTACATTTAGTTTTTATATTTACGTATTAACACTAAAATTTTACGTACGTATTTAATAGTTAAATAATAATGGATGATATTACAAAATAGCTTACTGTTGCAAACTTTTTCAATCAAACACAATTACCTTTATAACCACTGTAGTTTTATCCTCAACTCCACTGTTTTAACGCTGTACGTAACAGTCACACAAGCAGGTCTCGATATTTCGACACTCGCTAGGGAAAACTGTCCGAAATTTGAGTCGTAAAAATTCAGCATGGAAGATAAGAGAGTGGTCGTTATACGAAGCAGACAGAGATGAGTAAAATGTTTCTGTCTCTGTTTAAACATTCATAACATGTCACGCATGCGCAGAACGAGACCTTTCTTGTTTTTCATGTTGATTTTTCAAGATTTAGTTTTTGGATGGTTTCTTCTATGGTTTTGTAGTATAGTCATGGACATAATTGTCAATGAGTATAGTACTTCTAAATGTTAGACCAATTATGTAATATAGAATTTACTAACCGTTTCAAATATCCTAAATATTTAAATTATTATTATTATATGATAAGTATTATATGATAATCTTTTTAAGTTTTGTCAATGATATTATTAATTATTATTAGAAAACTTTTCAATATATAAAGGTTTGTGGAAATAATTCAAGTAATTCAAGTAATTTTAAAGTTGTCTTCCACCGGCATTGCATGTTCTATCTATGCTTTGTCTATGTTCAATGTTATATGATCGTACTACGATCGTCGTAATCACATGGTCACGTAGTGGCATGAGTGAAAGAAACCGTATACTCGTATGAGAGCTTGTACAGGTATATAGACAATTAATTTTTAATGTAAGAATATTTTGTAATAATTAAAAGAGAATGGCTTTGCAAAATGTCACGAAGATAGCGATTGGATGGTAGGTACGTTGATATAAAATATAGTAATCCCTGTTTTGTCGTAATAGTCTTCTTTGGTGGTTAATTTTTTACTTGAAGATTCGTAAAAGATAAATACTTTTATTAGAAACTTAGTAAGATTAATATTTCTTGAAACTTATTATTATCATTGTTACTATTATATATTCCATATCCACCATTGAATAGTTCTTCTTTTTGCAGGGCTATATCTTCTGTTATAGGAATATATGCTTTTACGTATGCGAGAAGAAGTGTACAGGAAAAAAGATATCAGGTTATGAAAACAAAGCAAATTCAACAAGATTCTGATATTGCTAACTGAATTATTTATCCATTTTAAATATTACTAGATAATAAGCGGTAGTTATCTAAAAAATGGCTGGATTGCCTCAGTTTACCGAAGAACAATTAAAGCTAGTGCAAGATATAGAAATAGAAATGATGACTGATATGTTTCATCGCATGACAGCAGCATGTCATAAGAAATGTATTCCACCAAAGTATTACACTCCAGAACTAAGCAAAGGTGAATCAGTGTGTCTCGATCGTTGTATTGCTAAATATCTGGACGTACAAGAACGTATTGGTAAAAAGCTTCAGCAAATTTCCATGCAAGAAGCAAGTCTGCAGAATAACCAGAATGACGTTAAATAAAATGAAATAAAATATTAATTTAAGATAAATATCGATAAAAATCTCATTGTTATGCATTTAACAGTTTTCTTTTTGGGAGATGTACAATTTTTTTGGTAGACACAAATTAATGAAAAATGAAGTTCTTTTTGCATGTTCCGTAAAATACTAAAATAAAGTGTAGTAACAAATTTATTCTGTATTCAATTGTACAGTATGAATAATGTAAATGTAATTAGCAAATCACTTAATATTTCGAAGTGATTAAATAAAAATTCAATTTGTTGCTGTCTTGTACAACAAAAACGAGCTTTTTTTTTTTGTAACATGATTTGCAAGTAGAAAATTGTTTATTTCATCGTAATACATAATTAAGTAGAAAAACTAACAATACAATCAAAAACTCAGTCGATATATAAACACAATGATATTTTTGGTAGCACAAAAAATTATGTACAAATTTAAGTATCATATTAATATTGAAATTACGTTATACCGTAATATTCATATTTTCCCCTTTAGTGCAATTTTTGTTTAAGGAGAATGAAAATTGTTCTTCTCCTTTCGTTGTTCAAATTATTATCACATCATGTGTGAAACAGTTCAAATTTCAATTTAATTTTCAATTATTTATTGTTAACCAGCAGTCTTCTCCTTTACCGGATGAATTGTCGCTAATGCTAGTGTATGTTGTCCTCCACCTGCGACTCGTATCACTGTTTTCCCCTCCAATTGCTTTCCTTTGACTAGTGTAGGTATCTCAACATCTTCTTCTTCGCCTGTACCTAACTGGCCACTTGAACCCATACCCCATGAATATAAATCTCCTGTATACAAACGTATGATAATACCATATGTTTCACAAGATGACAATAATAATATTGATAAAGAAACAACAAAATAATCTATGATGGTATCAAAAGAAAAACTTTACCTAATTCAGTAACAGCAAACGATTGGGCACTGCCTGCTGCGATGTCAATACATTTAAAGGAACTTAAGCTAGGAACTAGTGTTAATTCTTTTGCATCCAAACAATTAGATCCGAGTCCAAGGCGGCCATATTCTTTACGGCCCATAACAAATACTTGACCAGAATCATCTAGAGCAATTGTATGATGTTGTCCACTACTAATGTGCCTCCAGGTCTTTCCACTAAAGGTTTTTGAAATTTGTGGATGAAAGTGAGTAACAGGATCTTTCAAGCCTAAAATTTTTATGTAATATTTAATTAAATCATATCATAATGATTTTTAAATCAGTGTTATTTGTTAATATTTTGTTTGAACTTACCAATTTGATAGTAATTATTTAGTCCAAATACATATATATCTCCCTTCTGATATTCTTTAGCAAATGTACAGTATGTTCCGGCCCATATATCATCAAATTCTAATTTCTTAGTAACTTTAAATTCAACTAATCCAGGAGTTAATAAAGGTCCCATACCATGACGGGTATTTCTACTAGCTGCTCTAGCAGCTACTCGTCCTAATTGACCTTGTTCTCCACATCCACACGTGTATATATGCCCATTTTTATCAAGTAATACTAAGTGATCAGCACCAGATGCTATTTTAACTATTTTTATATTAGGCAGCATTTCTATCGGGAACCGTTCGTTTCCATTTAGAGTTAGACCCATGGTACCGTGAGAATCCTAAAGAGAATATCGTAATTTCTTGTCATTTATTTCTTAAAATCGACGGTGGATTAGTAGGCGAAGCAAAAGAAAATTATACCCTAAAGGAACCCCATGCAAATACTCGTCCATCTTCTAATAAAGCAGCACTATGAGAATCCCCAGCCGTCACCTGAATGGCTTTGCCAGGTAGGTCAACAGAATCTGGTTCAGTTTCAGAACCATCTCTAGACGTATCTCGTCCCAATGCTCCTTCGTCATTGCAACCAAACGTTAATACTCCTCCAGTTTGTCTTAAGCACACATTGTGCATACCACCAGCTGCTATAGATACGACATCTTGATATCCAGGAACAGTTGCGGGACGTGTTTTTTCAACAACTTCCTCTCCTAAACCAAGTTGTCCAACATCGCCTTGTCCAAATACTAATATTACGCCGCCAGTCGCAGATTGCCGTAAATCGGGTTTCACAACTAATTCTGTGAAATGCATGCAAGTGTTTAGCTATTTTACAGTATTTAATTTAGTGACGTATACAATTATATTTGTGCCGATCGACATTTGTCTTAGGACACGAAATATTCGCGGCACTATACAGAAAGATTATTAAGACGATCTCACGAAACTTTTTTTTGAAGATACTAGTATACTTCCAGCTGCCAACTAAAACGGAGCAATAATTATCGATCGTGGAACACATTGCTTAAACACATGTGCCTCGTGGTTTTGCACTTTCAATAAGATTTTTTGTGCTAATAAATTTTTCACCGCCAAAAATATACTCGAAAAAATATTAGCTAAAATTGAAGAAATAACAACTTACCTTGTTTTTTCCTTATCTGTTTTGGCTCCCGTTGGCTTTTTGCAGGAGCCGAAGCTGGTCGTTTTGTTGCTTTCCTTGGCGGCACTAAAAGTATATCAAGGTTATGTTTACAAATATATGTATAAAAGCTATTTTATGACAGTCATGTATGGAGAAACAACCGATTTTAATATCGCCACTTATATACGTACTAATTTTGCAAGATAATTGTTTTAGAAATGTAATATATAGCGCCTTATTGTCGGTTGGCGCCAAAAAGTTACAATGCTGCTGAACTCGTGGCTGTTGCGCAACTCACCAGAGGCGCTAACGTCTGGATTTTTTTAATACACGAAAACTCGTCACGTTTTATATCTTTGGCTGATTTTCAACTATAGATCTCACTTCCGACGCACGAAACGCAATCTTCGTAACGGAAATTCTATCCCTTCCTTCTTCGATGGACGGTTCGTATAAATGGAAATGTTTCGATCCGGTTTACTTTGGTCCGGTAAACTGTTGAAATTGCAACAAGTACCTTTCATTGGTAAGAGTCGCTTATGGATAGAAATCGATTATTTAGTAATCATTCGGTTGTTCCTGACATACTCGTGCATTTACATCATCGGGTTATAGTATAGCTTTGCTTTTCAATTATTCACTTAATTTTTTCTATATATACGAGGATGATCTTAACGATATGTCTAAGTAATTTGTAATTTGATAAGTATTAAATATGTAAAATAGAGTAACATTTGGAATATTTTTTGATAAATTTATAACACTAGGTTATAATTTCCTCTGAGATTCTCGTTTAAAAAGTCGTTTCTCACCTTTATTCTTTGCTTCATTCTCTCGATAATTAGAAACATAGTGTATGTACATTGTGTTCGTGTAAACGAAGAAAAGTCTCGAATACTATCGAATACGAAAACGTCAAGTGGAATACAGATTAATTTAAGTGTACGATTCGAATTGAACGATAGCACGAACTAGTGATAGTCGACATAATGCGTAGTGAGATTCTGTGCCAAACAATTTCCATTGCTTGGTTTGTCACGGTACTCGATAAATTCGCACGATACGACGACACGAGGCGACTATCTGGTAAACACGTTTACAAAGATAGCGAAGTTCTCGCGGGTCCTTTGGTTATTCGGCGCGATAAATTCATAATTCTTTTAGCAAGATGGTGCGCGGTCACGATTCACGCTACACTGCGAATTAGAAGAGAACAGACGGTAAGGGGTCTTGTCGGAGTTGATATCTCGTGGATAACGATATGCACCAAGAGAATCGACGAGAGAGGGAGTCTAGAAAGAGGAAGAGAGGAGAAAAGAGGGGTGGATTTGAACCAGAGGGGGGCTGGCCGGTTATCAGAGGGGTCAGATACGTTGGTGCGCGCCAGTCGAAGCCGAGACTTCGTCCGCGCAACTACTCGTCGAATTTCTCTGTTGAACGGTCTTTTCCGTTCGAACACTTTCGACTCGTCGATTTATTGCGTTCCCGTTGTCGTTTCTTTTTTTATTTCCTTTACGCCCTAAGGATACGGTTTGCGCAATCGTTTACGTATACTCGATCGCGATCGAAAAAATCTTCCGACATTCCCGGCTTTGTGTTTACTTTTAATTTACGTTTAAAGGAACGAACAAATTGCACCAGTTTGGACAGTCGAAGGTTTTACGGTGAGGAAAGCAGTTCATGTAGAAAAATCAAGAATCATGACGAAAGTGCGCCAATACAGATTTCTCTCGCTACTCGTGCACATCCTGCTTGGCGGTGAGTTTAAAAAAAAAAAAACATTGCTTTTCTTTTATCTTCTCTTCTTCGCTTCTTTCAAACGAGAGCGAAACTTGCGACGATGAAGCGTCACGCGAACAACGAGAGTTTAAAATTTCTGATTATCGCGCGTGTCGAAATCCGCGCACCTTCGTATTCGAAGTATTCGTAAAATATTTATCGCGGTACTCGGTGCCAAACACGCGGGTCGTAAGCGATAAATACGCGAATTTGGAAGTCTCCGTCGGTTGCAGCGCAGCGCATCGATCGTCCAATTCCTATGACTTGTTGAGTCGCACCTTAAATCTTACGCGCGAAGTTGCATCTACTCGGCAACAAACTTATTCCGTTCGACACGATCTATTCGGGGATCGTCTTTGATCGAATCGAATAGACTCGACCATGCACGGAGATCTGCTTGAATTCTCTCAATCGAGTTAAGTGGCTTCCTAAATGCGGTAAGCTGCGCTGGTCGTTTTACCAAGGCTTGCACGTGCTTTTAAGAAGCACGATACTATCGTGCAAGAAGGTGGTAGGACAGATTCGCCGTACTTTTCCACTTTCTATATCTTCCACTTCTTTCCAGCACCGAGATCGTTCGCTTCCGAGCGATCGGTAGAATCGACGCCGACCATTTTCGAGACCTTTGCGTACGAACTTGAGACGTATCTTCATTCCACGCCTATCTTCGCTCTTCTCGTTTTCCTTCGATTTTTCGCGATCTTCGTACTGTCCGTTCGAAGGGAGAACCTAAGAACACCAGTCGGAACAAGGCGATTATTAAGCTTTGTTACGACGTGATTTCGTATTCGACGTGGCAATGGGAAACACGCATGGTAGAAGGTAAACGAAAAACCAGGAAACGCCATAGTCGCTCGTATAAATATATAGAGAGGCGGGGGCAAGGCGAACGGGCAATCGGTCTGTGAAAGTACGAACAAAGGTACCGAGCGAACAGGGAAACAAAAAGGGGGATGGGTGGGAAAAAATAAATCCACAACCCAGTTTTCTCGTTATCAATCATCCTGCCGATATTTTGAAAGTACGATCAACATCGGTGGAAAATCCACAGGATGGGCGCTACGGTCCAGATAACGTTCCCGGGAATTCGATAATCGTCCAGAGGAAAGAGGATGAGAAGCTTCGGCCGTTCGGCCTGTCTCGCGAAATTCTATTTCTCCGAGAATGTTTCCGCGTTAACGAAACTTTGAGGATCGGCGAATATTGCGGTCTACCTGGCGTAACAGTCGAATGGAAGTTGGCAAGTTTATTTTATTTGATCGCGGTGCCGACCAGGTCGACTCGATTTTCCTCACCGCAGAACGACGTTCTACGTTCTCTGATTTTTATCGTCGATTAGTGCCGGTGCCGACCGATTTCCAGAGAAACCATCGGCCGTTCGTAATGGCAATCGGCTGCAAGTATCTGCTCGTTTGTCGAGATTCGAATCATCTTTCATTCAACGATAAAACGTTAACCGGAGGCAATGTATATTTCGCGAATCGCGGCGAGTTAAGAGTCGAAGGAGACTAGTAGCAGGTGCGTACGATTCGTGCGGGGCAAGATCGCGGACTCAATTAATATCGAGGACGCGCTTCACGGCTTAGGATCGGATTACTCGCTCGAGAAAAAGAGAGAGAGAGCCGACTGTTCTTCTTCTAGGAAAGAAAAACAACGTGGAAAGAAAGGAGACCTTTGGAAGTAGGTGGGAGCGGAGGACACAGGGTGGAAGGGTGTAACTGGTAGGAATAGGAGAACTCGCTGAATATGCATGAAACAATCGCATATCTCATGCAATTAGCCGAGGCAATTTTTTCCTTCTTTCGTTTTCTTTCGCTCGCTTCAGCTTTTCCCAACTTGTCTGCCGTCTTTCCCTTGATCCGTTGGTTCGTCTCGTTTTATTCGAAGAAAGCAACCGAAAGCTCGATTCGAATATTCAAATTGCATTTTGAATAGCGTTGATACTCGGTTTCTTCCAGTTTCTTTGCCGCTAAACTTCGCCTTTGCTATATTCTTCTTTCTCTTCTTGCCGTGTTTCTCTTTCTGGTTAAAAAATGTTGATTGCTCCAACTTTCTCGCAGCTGACCCAGTTGATTTTTCGTAGAAGGGCAGACGCGAAAACCCTATGTCGGAGAACGATGGAAAGTATCGCGAAAAGGCTCGGTGTCTTTTAAACATTAACCAGCTTAGAGCGCGCTTTAATGTCTTTCGTCGGTAGAGGAAGCAAAGGAAGAGAGAAAACGGACGCGGCACGAAAACACGTTCCGTTGACTCGGCAAACATTTTGTTCGCGGCCCTCCATCGATACCTCGCTGCCACGGAACCCGAACGCTTTCGCGTTTTTCCCGGGAATCTCGTTCTTTTTGGAGAAAAAGGCGGCTTTTCCGTTTGGTAAAAGAGCACTTCGTGACTCGCGACTTACTGTGTTCTCAGAAAACATCCATCGCGTGTTCCATCGAGCCAAAGTTATTTTTACGCGCGCTTCTTCCCCTTATCCAACGTTTTCTAATAATTTGTCCGACTTGTCCGGATGCTTTTAACGTCGATAATCTGCCAACCTCTAAGAAAGATATCGTCAAACAACTCGAGGCTCGAGTACGAGATTTGCTGGCTACGTTCTGTCGTTTGGAATTTCCCATACGAGATACGAATTCGAGGAGAACGACAGGTAGAAGGTTCGGCTCGAACAACTTTCTCTGCGATTTTGTTGGAAATTTGCGGCCACGCATGGATGACAAAATAGCCTTTGTGCCAGTACCTTGCTGTTAACGAGTATTAACTCTCGCACGAGGAAATATAGGTCAAAAGTTGGCCGCACAGTGATGAAACGGGCCGCTGGCCAGCCGGATGGGACCACGAAACGGAGTTAGTCGTGATTTTCCACCGGTCCTGGTAGTTTCAAGTCCAATTCCGAAGTCTATTTTCGCTGCTTCTGTTTTTTCGATCTATGCAATTTTCCAGATTTTTTTCTAAATATTTCCGTCTCGATCTTCTCCGAGTTATCGCGATTTTCAGACGTTTCGCGCCTGTTCTTTCGCGACCTCGCGGTCCTGAACATTTCGTTCGAAGGTTAGAACGCGAGAATGCTCCGAGCTAGCAGCTCACGTTGAAATCGAAACGAGTTCTCGTCGGTATACGATTTCGCGTGCAAGATCGAACATAGTTTGCTGGTTTTCTCGACGAGAGCAGCGCTTTAAAACAGGATATCCGAAACGCGAACAGGAGGACATTAGATGCGCGTCCCAGAGGATTCGAAACAGGATTGAATTTTCCGAACGATGACAAGGACCACGATGCTCTTGCGTTTTCATCGAACCGATTCGATCGAGAGAAGATTGTGCCCGGTTGTATTTGGGCAAGTAGCGACGCAACCTTGCGTCACAGTTGGCGCCGAAAGAGTACGTAGGTCTGAAAGTTTGATTAAACCAGGTCGGGAAATGCGCATTCGTCAACACCACCTCGTACTCAGATTTTTTACTCTCGCGTTAGTTGCTCGCGTGAATTTCGTTCTCCGAATGCGCGTATCTCCTTTGAAGCGACGAACCAAAGGCGGTCGAGTCGTCGGAGGACAGCTTTTCCTTTGTTCTGGATGCGACGCGAGCCATTTAATAGGCCGTAGCCTGTCTTTGTCTGCTTTAGTTCCGCGGAACGGACATATTCCTCCGCTGACTGCGCGTCGTTTCTTCCTAAAACTGTAGGACGACGACCGACGACACGATCTCGTCGAGTTAGCTCGGTAACGAAGAGTCTGATGTTTTGTTGGTCGATCTTGGTTCGCTGGCCGATTCGATTCCCTCTCGTGCGGAGTCGTAAAAATATCCGCGTGACCGGTGAGTTGGAAACGCGCAGCGTCGGAAACGCTGGAAACAATTACATGGCCGGGAACGTTGGTAGCAGAGTGAATTATACGGGAGCCGAGGGTGGAATATGGCGTTATCCGGCTTGTCCGGCAATTTGAAAGTCTAATGCGAGCTAGAATGATTTTTCTGAAAGGGGTCGCGCGGCCTGCCGTGTTTCGCTTCGTGCCATCGCCACCTGTTGGGAGTGCGAATCCCATAAACTCCCCCCAGTTAGCCATTCTGTTCGTAAACAATTGGAAGCTTTTAAGTAATTGCTCCGCTCGTCTTGGAAACAAGCTCGGAACAATCGCATCCCGTGCTCTCTCGTCGGCGATGGTTCTTGCTTCGTTTCGTATTCGTTCGAGCCTGCAACCCCCACGGACGTGCAATCTTGTATCCGATTAGCCTGGATCTTGAAACGGAGATAAAACGAACAACGTTCTCCGTGAATCGAAAGGGCGATCGTCTTCCTTCCAATGAACTCTCCGTACCTGTCCTTGCCTCTATGGACATCGGACAACCGAGTTTAGCCCGTTAATGTTAATAGGAAAACCTATATTCCTCTCTGTCTCCCTGCCCCTTTCTCTCTCTCTC